ACTTAAATTCTCTTATATTCTGTATGGAATCCCAAGATTTTGTTTTTGTAATAGAGTCTAATGCGAATGCGTAGGATCCTTACGCAGGTTGCAAAGGGCAGAGTTTACAGCAGTATATTTTTTAAATTTTTTAAAGGTGATAACAAATTTTTTGCTTCTTATTGTCAGACGAGATATTTAGGTATATTATAACACATTGTTCTGTTTAAAACTCTTTTAGAGATAAATATTTAGGTTATGTTAAAAGTATTGCGTATATGGGATTATGGATGGTAAAGGAATGGCTCAAACATTGTCCGCGAGAATCAATCACAGCAAACATAAAAAATACAAACTGTTTGACAGTATGTTAATGAATAATTTTATGAGGAGCAGGTATAGTCTTTCCGAATTCAGTTGAACATGTAAAAAAACGCCTGGCAATAAAATTTAATGAGTTTCATAGGTGTCCCTAAAAAAGTTTTCGGATATAGGTAAAAAATTATAATAATTTGTATATAATGTGCAGAAAATTTCTATTATATGTTCATTTGGCCAACAACATATTTTAATTATTTATGTCCTCAAACAATTTTATTATATTGATGGTAAATTTCGTTTTGTTCCATTTCTAAAGGTCTCCAAAATGCCATGTTGTAATAATATTATTTCTCCTTTTCGCAATTGTAATATCAATGATTAATAGAAGGTGCCTATAATAAATTAAAATTACCTGAATCACACCAAATTCCTCATTGCTGCACTGCACTGCTGGGCAATTTGTCGACCACTTGTCAACGGCTGAGATTTATTGCCTAGTGGCTCAATGCAACTGTATTGTATTTTGTTTGCCCGCGTTTGCAGGGTGTCTCTAAATGGTCTATACAATGCTCCAGAGGGCACCACAAGCGACTTTAGGACGCTTTTAAACTGCCAAAACTTTTTTGTACCAAAAATCTTTTCCTCCAAAAAGTATACCTTGCTAATATCTCTAAAGCCTACAGTTTTCAACAAAAAGGCATGTAAATTTCTAAATTCATAAAAAAATTAGTTTAAAAGTTTATTTTCTATGTGAGTTTCTTAGTAGTAGCAACAGTATATTTTCCACAACTTGGCTAATGAATGGTACTGTAACGCTGAAATCACTGATATGTTGTTTGTGTGGATTTTGTCAAGGAAATGGTTGAGGATCTATAAGGGTATACCGTGATATTTCAAATAAACGCATTCTGAATGATCAAACGTTTGCACGCATCAAAAGACGTCTACCTGAAAGAGGGACATTTGTTTCTGTTATGGTTAATTATGGACATATTCGCAACATAAGGATTCCCAATGTAGAAGAACGAATTTTAGAATGCATAACTGAAGAACCAAAGTTTGTATTATACTGGGATGGGATTAGAATTTAGACAAGGCGAAAACCTCGCATTCGTGGGAGAAATTTTCCGACTCGATCTTTTTGCATATTCAGATTCGTGAGATGTTCCTTAACATGAATCGATATGATGCCGGCCGGAAATCTGGTGCCCATTTGTTTAAACAAACTTTTTTTAAATAAATTGTAAAAATAGGTTTTTTCACTCCGGAAATTTTTTTTTTAGGTTTTTTGGCACATTATAAACAAAAGAGTTCCTATGCACTATGCTTCTAAAATTGATAGTTTTAAAGTTATAAACAATTTAATTTGCTGAAAATGCGAAAATTACGATTTTCAACGGCCGATTTCCGGGTTAAAAATTGTTATTTTTGATGTTGCCAGGTACCTAAATTAAAGTTTAAACATCCCCCTACAAGATGCTGAAGAGTTTTTGGGACTCGCATTATTCTAAAGCCTTGTTTTTTAATTGTTAATAAAGCGCTATGAGCCGCGCGCGCGCCTCTCTCATACGCGGATTCGCTATTTCGTCTAGCGGCTTCAGCTTATGTTCTTTGAATTTAGCATTCTAAGTACTATTACTACTCATAAAATAATGTAAAAATTGATTATTTAAATTTCATAATTCATAATAATTTTATTTAATTAATTCAAAATTGTACGAATAGAGTGCAGAAAAAAAATAAAAGGGCAATAGTATCAAATACATTTGATTTTTATTAAAGAACATTTATTTAATACTGCATATTATTATTATCACACATTTATTCAATCATAAGAATTCTCACACTGTTCTATGTTACAACCACATAAAGGTACACAAGTGACATAGTTTTTCCTACAAGAACAAGCTTTAGTCTTACAGTTTTTTGTACATTTACATTGTTTAACTAAGTCTTTGGGTAATGGATCTTTGGTAATAAATTTACGTATTAGAGACGCGCGCGCGGCTCATAGCGTATTATTCACAATTAAAAAACAAGGTTTTAAAATAATGAGAGTCCCAAAAACTCTTCAGCATCTTGTAGGGGGGTGTTTAATCTTTAATTTAGGTACCTGGCAACATCAAAAATAACAATTTTTAACCCGAAAATCGGCCGTTGAAAATAGTAATTTTCGCATTTTTAGCAACTTAAATTGTTTATAACTTTAAAACTATCAATTTTAGATGCATAGTGCATAAGAACTTTTTTGTTTATTATGTGCCAAAAAACCTAAAAAAAAATTTCCGGAGTGAAAAAACCTATTTTTCCAAAACAATTTGTTTAAAAAAGTTTGTTTAAACAAATGGGCACCAGATTTCCGGCTAGCATCATCTCGATTCATGTTAAGGAACATCTCACGAATCTGAATATGCAAAAAAATCGAGTCGCAAAATGTCTCGCACGAATGCGAGGTTTTCACCTTGTCTAATTAGGCATATCCAAAGATGTAAATCGTGATACAAGGGAACAATTGCTATATCCATAACATATGCAAAAAATTCAAGGACTTTTACCAGGAGATTCCAAATTACGGCTTTGCTTTTGTCGCTTCATTAATGATCTTAGTGCAGGATATGGCTGTAAAATCAAACAATGAACATGTGTATGCCGAATTGCCAAAGTAAATCTCCGTGCTTCTAAAATACAACACTATCAACATGAGTTTAAAATAAACGTTTGGGTTGGGATAATTAATAAAAATATCATTGGTCCTGTTATTTTGCCTGATTTTGCTTAATGGAGAAAATCATTTAGACTTAATTGAAAATAGATTTCAAAATTGCTGGAAGAGTTACCTTTAGCTCAAAGATTGATTATATGGTATATGCACTATGGCATAGATCGGTAGGGGTAACAACGCTCCAGTAAATTGTCCGCCGCGCTCCCCAGATATGACCCCGATGGTTTATTTCTTCTGGAGAGCCTTAAAAAACATTTTTTATTCGACACCCGTCTATAATAGAGATGATCTGTGGCAAAGAAATTCCACATAGTACAAATGTCGTTGCACATATCTTACAAAGGATATAGTTAATTTTTTTGCATAGAATTGGTCTCTGTATGCATATAGGTGGTGGATATTTGAAACCCCTTTTGAGACAGGTCAATAATAAATTAGTTATTTTTTAGATTTTTAGATTGATTACCTTGTTTAGATTGATTAGATTGTTTTTAGAAACTATATTTTTTACTCTGTCAATTCTGTTTGAAACAAAATTGTTAAACAAACGTAATTTAAAATTGTAATAGCACTGTTTCATTTAAAGGCATATTTCTTGCTAATAAACGATTGCTCTTAATTTCGTTTATCAGTGGAGTTAAAAATAAATTTTAAACGAATTTTTTTATGCATTTACAAATTTAAATGCAATTTTGTTGAAAACGGTTGGCTTTAGAGATATTAGCAAGATGTACCTTTTTTAAGCAGAAAAATTGGGGAAAAGATTGTTCCAGCCCAAAGTGAAGTACACTGTGGCATAAAACAGTTTTGACAGTTTGACAGTTGATGGTCGCTTGTGGCGCCCTCTACAAGATACAACGAAATCGTCGATAGATTCGATTTTCTCATTCAAAAAAATTTCCGGATATGATGTTTTAAGTAGTACGAAGTAATCGAAAGATATTAAAGAAAATGTTATTTATTCTTTCAATTTTGACACCTTATAGCTCCGTTATTATCAATTTTTGGACTAAGGCAAGTTTAGTTAAATCGACTTATTTGAGGCCGTAGTATGTCTGGTGGAGCTTTGTCCAGGCTATTTAGAGCCCTGTATGTTAAAAAGATCGTTAAAATGAGAAAAAAATTAACTTTGCTGCTTTGTATTTTTGTGGGGGTTTAATTTATGCGAAATATATAATTTAGGTTAAATGTAGGCTTTTTAGAATCCTTAACAAACCATATTTAGGTAGGTTTCGTTGAAAGAATTAAATATTTAGCCGATAATTGATAATAAATAAATTACTTAATTTAGTACCACATCAAACAATAAAAATCAAAATAACTCGGAAAAGCACAGGTATTTCGAAACAGAAGAAGGGACATTATTTTTGTTAAACTGTATATAGATAATTAAAATAATAGTTTTTTTTAAAAAAACAGTCATTGGCGTAGAAGTTTTGTTTAAGAAAGGGGTTGAGCACCCCCTCCGCCAGTGTGCAAGTTTTTGAACATTCTTATCGCTTGTTTTATGCCCCTTAATTAATAGACATTATCCCCCAAACATGAAAAAAATCTAAGCATTCGTTTATAAGTTATAATGAAAATTCGAGAAAAAAATATATATATTCAACACCCTGTATCTCGGAAACGAACAATAAACGATGTTTATAGGAACTTTTCTTTTTAAAAACATGGGTTCTATCTCCTGTTACAGTTTGTCTACAAAAAACTGACTCACCCTGTACATATAAAAGAATTACCGCGTTTTAAAATAAAGTCTTTTCGATTATTTTTATTATCCTTCCGAGGATATTTCCATTGTTTTGAAGGTACGTGCTGCGTGTTATTCAAGAGGACAGAAACCGAGAAGGGCACTTTGAATTTAATTGAAGTAAAACACCCTCTCGGAAAACACCCCCAGGTCAGACCCAGACTTTGCATCCCCGCGACCCCATCCGGGTAAACGTTAGATAAATCCTGAAAAATATGTATTTTTCAGAATCCTCCACGCTCAAGGCGATGAAGATCCGGGTGCCGGAAGTGGCCCAATCGGGCGACACCGTGACCCTGTCTTGCGAATACGACCTGGAACAAGTGGCGCTCTATTCCATCAAATGGTATTGGAACGAGGAGGAATTCTACAGATTCGTACCCAAGGAGTCGCCGCCGTTCAGGGCGTTCTCGATGAAGCACGTCAACGTCGACGTAAGTAAGACGGCTTTTCAATTATTAAGGCGCCGCTAAAAGAAATACGTTCTTTCCGGGGGGAGTGGGATAATGTAATCTTATGTCACACGAAAATTGAAACTTTAGTGGAACTGTCAAAAGGGGTGAATGCCAACATAGGGTTCAGAAAATATTAAAGGGAAACTTTCTAAAAAGAATAACTCGATCGAAGGACAGAACTGTGGATAAATGAAATTGCCTCATCAAAACACAACAAAATATTTTAGAAAAAATAACTGTTAATGAGGAATACTTTTGCTGCAGAAAAACCGTTTTGTATTTATTCTTCCATTCAATACGTCTGTCTTTGTAGTTACTCCTGTCGAATTAGAGTTTGAACGTTTGAACTACAGGTTACACTCAATTACTGGAAAAGCTAAACAAATTATAAATATAAGGTACTACTTTGTAAGATGTTATCAAAATATACGAAACAGCTATAAATTTACATTAAATTTTTCTTCGTACACACGAATTATTTGGATTAAACTATCAAAATGGAGGTCACACGAAGATGATATAGAAAAAGACTGCATGCAATAAAAGGTAACATTATACCGAGTTTCTATCCTTGGAACAAATAAATTTAATTTTTCCAATAGAGCAGGGCAGTTGATTCTATATTTTATTAAATTATAAACACAAAAGCAATTGCTGAACAGTTTCTTTTAAGCAATAATGACTTCAATTGGAAAACTTGAAGTAACACCTTATTGTCAGGATATACACCATTTCTTTTAAAAGAAATAAACTTCAAGAACTTCCGCTGCACCGACTCTATCTGCCAAATATAATTATGATATACAGGGTACCAGATAATGGATCCGTATTCTAATTTACTTCTAATGAGTGACACATAATAATTTCATTGAAGCAACATTCGAAAAGTCTCTCATACTTCTAAAACAAATCCCAAAGTTTTAGAAGCCGAACATACTACATTGTTAATATGGTCGGTAAAAGCCAGTTTAGAATCAAACAATATACCTAGATCTTTATAAGATGAACAGCGTTCAATAGCAATGTTGTTAATTAGATAATTATAATTTAAAAATGTCCCTCTTTTCGTGTATGTGACTATTTTACATTTAGATATATTCAGTTTCAATGAGTTTGCAATTCATTTATCTTATTTAAATCATTTTGAAGCTTCGAACAATCATTTTCTGATGTAACACTACTAAATATTTCTAGATCATCAGCAAATAACAACTTTTGACAGGTTATATGAGATGTTATATCATTACTAAATTTTGAAAATAATAAATTATAATAAAATTAGTCATTTTATGTTGTAGGCAGTTAAATTAGCTACAATTTAAGGTATCTAAAGTCATATTTCACCAATTTGTTAACTGTAAAATAAAGGTTGAACGCGGAAACTCGGTTTTCGAAAATTGCACATTATTATTGCAAAAAGCGATGTATGTTGATGAAATTTATGGAAAAAACGGTCAATTCAAAGACTAACGTGTGTGCCAAAGGCCGATTTGATTTAACGTGAAATTGTTGTTAATTAATTTCGTTCGTTCTTTGCAACTAATTGTATATTATATTGGTTCTAATTGATCCAAAGAAACGTATCGAAAAAGAAAAATTACAAAAAGTTGAAATTAAGTCGACCTTTATAACTAACAAAGTAGAATGCGCAAAACAGCGTTATAATCAAATTGGTCAGGGTTAGGCAAAAGCCGCTCGGGAATTCGCTCTTTTTGCATTAAATAGAGCTTATTTTTACGGCAACTTAAAAAAAAGAGAAATCACCTACGACTCTTTGTTCTCAATATATCTTTTTATATAACGTTAATTGTTAATTAACTATTGGATGTATTGAACCGGAATTTTTGTTAATTGTAAAGGGTGACTTAATTTAAATTTTTTTGAAAATTTTCTTTTTTGGTGCGCTTCTTTGGATCAATTAGAACCTATATTTACAGTATTATTAACTTCTAAAAGTAACGTTTAGTAATTAAAGAATTAGTTGCTTAAAAAACAAACTTAATTAATTAACAAATAGCTGGAGAAGTCATGAAAGGAAAATATACTGCATACTACTTTTCAATCATACATGATTGATTATCAAAATATCAACTTATTTAAACAAAAATGTTTTGGCAGTTGATTAGGGCATCTGGGGACACCCAGTACATCTTAAATGTTGGAAAAGGATTGCTTTATGTGTTTCCCAACTAATATAATGCATTATAAACATAAAATCAATTATTATATTTCTATAATTTCTTTGTAGACGACGCCCTGTAATAAAAAAAATCCTCTTTTCAACCTGAACACTTTTTTGTATCTTCAAGATGGCAGAGCAATTGTACATTATCACACTAATACACAAATACGAGTAATATTAGAAATTTCAAAATTCTCAAAAATAGGTTGGAAACGAACAATTTATTTTCAAAACCTCCATTAGGAATTTATTTCAATAATTGAAATGCAGGAAGCACTATTTTGTATTTTAAAATTTTATTTCAAAAATTAAAAACCCTTTAATTGTTTTGTGGCATAACAATATAACTCAGATGTCGGGAATGCAACTTAGAGTTTTTCAATTAAAATTGACTATCCTGAATAACAATTTATATGTATTTCCTAAACTATGAATGGTTTAACTGAAATGCAATTTGGAGTTTCAGAACTAAAATTCGATATTATGAAATACGGTTGATACATCGTGAAATGTAACTGGCTAATTTAAAATTAGTAATTTACAAAATGAATTTACAGTTACTTTCAATAGGTATATCCTAAATTTGATGTTTTACCTAAAATGGAAGTGGAATTTAATTTATGACTATGTAAGAAAAGTTGTCTTTACTTTACTTTTATTACTTCGCGTAATACCCAAGGTTATCTAAAATTAAAATCTCTACCTAAAATAGTAATAAAGTCGAAAATGTCAGATATTAAATTCTTCTGTGAAATAGTTTTCTATGTGTGGCTGTAAATTTTGTTGTTTACTGAGATATTTTAAATTAAAATTTTCGCAGGAAATGTTGAACCTGATTTTTGGAAGGAGATTTAATATCTTTATTAGGCTTTCAAGGAGTCAAGTTAGTTCAAGCTGATTCTAAATTGTTATCAAATGAATTTATTTTTCATATGGGATGGTTGCAAACATTGAAAGTAGATAAATCGAGATGCGAAAAATGAATGGGTAGAAATATTTTACTTTACTTACCACATTGATACGATTTATGGAACCGTAGACATCATCGATAGCTCATCTGGCTGTTTGTACATAGAGATGTGGTTCCGCATGCTACAACGATGTTCACTAATTCATTGTTAAGCAATTTTAGTAGGTTTATTCGCATTATTTACAAAAAGTAGGAATCTAGACAAATAAATGCTTTCATTAATTTTACTTGAAACTTAAACAATAAAAGATAAACTTTTCAGCAATGAAAAATAAAGTAAAACTGGTAGTAACCTAAAATGGAATTAATTATTTTTCTGTTTACTGGATAGGGGACAAAAAAGCGTACAGATTTAATTTTATATTGTCCATCAAACAATATATGCATGACAGGTTTGTTACATGCATTTTGACTGACTTTTATGATAGGTTTTCTAAAAACATGCCATGATTAGACAATATTTTTGACATAAAAATAATTATTATCCTAGTAACCATGTTATCTAATAATAACTAAGGATTGTTCACATGACTTTCCATAATTTTTCTGCAATTTCAGATAAATCACATAGACGGAGAGCTGGTAGACATTTTTGAGTAGGTGTTTGAGGCATTGTTCAAAACTTCTTCTAGTGATACCTGAATACAAAAATGCAGACCTGGCTAAAGGGTTGCGGGGCTTAAGCAACCATTCAATTTTTAAAGAAGCTAATTTTTGTTTGCAAAAAATATTCTTGAGGCACTTTCAAATTTTTACGGGATAATATTTGTGACTAAAAATAGATATTTACAAAAGGACAGGTCGTTTCGGTGGGATATTTTACCTGCCAGATGAGTGAGAATGTAATTATATACAGGGTGACTTTTTATGATTAGGACTTTAACCATCGATAGATCTCGTCAAAATAATGTCATTTTGAAGTATACACTTTTTCTTCCTTTTAGAGATTTAAGCACTTGAAAAAAAATTTTTATTTTGGCTTTTATTTATTTTTTCTTAAACTAAACAAAAATTGGATAAATTTGGAACGAATACATTGAAGATTAATTTTTCCAAATAAAACGTCTGAATCTGGTTCGACCTGAGGCAGTATAGTATTGGGAGTCATAAAGGCTTGCAAAAATTGTAATAAAATTTCCAGGGTCGTATTTAAAAAATGAAGTTGATAGTTCTGGAGAGACGAAACGTTATGTATAAAAATTGATTATGCCATTCGATAGAGGGCAAACAGTTGCTATGAGAAAGTGTTCTTTTTTCAATATCACCTCAAACAATGACTGAAATGAAACAAACGGATTTCCAAAATTTCAATTTTTTTCAAATATTTCCAAAACTAATCATGTTAGCCTTGATTTTTTAGAGGTTCCCTGATTATGCTACTTTGCCCCCATTTAAGCTACTTCGTATCTCTATCCGTTTCCGAGATCCTTGTAGTGAGAAGCGAATTTGTACAGCCTGTATACACCAATATCTAGGTTAATAAAAGATATAACTTAATTTTTTTTCTTTCTAGTAGTTGACATAATTATGATTGTATGACAGCTAGAATTTTTTTTTTTCAGGAACTCTACAGTGAAGATGGCTATTTCAAAAAACGTATCAAAAGTTGACCTGCGATATACAGGGGGCAAAAAAAGTCGTGCCAAACCTGATAATTTAAAATTTGAAAAATCTCGACTTTTCCAAATAGAACATCCTTGTTTTATGATTTCATTAGATGCCTTTCTGTAGACCCTATAATTTTTTAATAGCTTTCCCTATACCTAAGTTGTGTAGTTTTTGCAAAAAAAAACATTTTTATGTAAAATACCGGATTTGCGCCCGTTC